TTTGTTGAAAAAAGAATGTATTACAATAAAATTATAATTATGTTAGATCTACTCTCGCCTGTGACACAGGATTATCCTAGTACAGGCAAATTATTTTTATTTATTATATATATATATATACATATGTATATATATTCATAAATATATATATATATATATATATATATAAATTTATGAATATATATACATATTATTATTTATTTATAATTAATGGTGTGAGAAAAACAGTAGGTTTGACTACTATAAAAATAAAAAATTTTGATATAGAGGATGAAGCCGATGTTTATATAATTGATGGGGAACAATTTAAATATGATTTTTTAATTGGATTGGACATCATTAAAAGATTTAAACTAATACAAGATGAGCATTTACAAATAAATCAGAAAAATGACAAAGATACAAAAAAAGAATGTTTCATAAATTTCAATGAACATATACAAGAAAAGGATTTTAAAATAAATATGGGTAACTTGAACACTGAACAGAAAACTCAAATATATAATCCAGTAAATTCATACAAATCAATTTTTGCCAAAGACAAATATGATATTGGCACAGTTAAAGATTATGAAGCACGCATTGACTTACTCATTGATAAATATTGTTGTAAAATACCTTATAGATGTTCAGTAGAAGATAAAAAAGAAATAGAAGAACAAATAAGAAAATAACTTGATAGAAACCTTATTAAAGAATCTTATAGTCCGTTTGCAGCGCCTGTGACGCTAGCTTTCAAGAAAGAAGACAACAAGGTCAAGATTATGTATTGATTTTAGAGACCTAAATAAAATTGTAATACCACAAGCTCAACCGTTTCCACTAATAAATGATTTGATTGTGAAGACCAGAAACTCAACATATTTCACTACACTTGATATAAATTCTGCTTTCTGGTCCATCCCTCTAAAAATTAAAGATAGAAAGAAAACAGCCTTTGTGACCCAAGATGGCCACTACCAATGGACGTGTTTGCCGTTTGGATTGAAGACCTCTCCGGCCTTTTTCAAAGGATACTAAGGTAACATTTGAGAAAATATAATCTAACTGATTTCACAATAAATTTTATAGATGACATATTAATATTTTCAGAATCGTTTTCGGAACATGTAAATCATTTATCACAATTATTAGAAGCTATAAAAAAGGAAGGCTTTAGATTAAAATTCACAAAATGTATGTTTGCTTCAGATTCTGTCAAATATCTTGGTCATATAATACATAATAATACAGTACGTCCC